TCGCGTCGCCACACGGTCTGCCCACACACTTGAAGCAAACATATCACGTGATACCACATATCACCCCGCTCACCAGCGACACGCCGCGTTTACGCCAGCCTGTTTCGCTCTCTCCAGTGGCACGGCGCCACGCAAACGCACTTTCCACCAAGGCTGCGCAAATCCCAATGGCACTGCGACGTCACGAACGTCGTGTCGCGGTCTGCCCGCACACTATAGAAGCAGTCACGCGAGCGTTTCGTACGAGACTTCCTCCAAAAGTCAGGCTTCGAGGCTGCAAGACGAGCGTTTCGTACGAGACTTCCTCCAAAAGTCACGCGTCAAGTCTCCCAAACGAGCGTTTCGTACGAGACTTCCTCAAAAAGTCACACGTCAAGTCTCCAAAACGAGCGTTTCCCACGAGACTTCCTCAAAAACTCACACGTCAAAGTCTGCAAAACGAGCGTTTCGTACGAGACTTCCTCCAAAAGTCAAGCGGAAACACCCATCGGAGCACACACATCACGCAGTCCTGCCAAGCAGTTTCGCGATTCCAGCCCCTCCAAACAACACCCGCTCACACGCCAATCCCAATGTGACAGCGACATTCACCTCTACCACAACTCACAACCTCACGATTCCCTGCGCCTGCCACGAATCTTTCCGTGTCCACACGTCTAACGCGCACAAAGGCACAAAGCACTGCGCCTGCCACGAAATGTGACCTCCGTCACACCTCGCAACCTCACGATTCCCTGTCGCTGCCACGAAAATTGCACTTCCACACCTCGAAACCCACACAAAGTACTGCGCCTGCCACGAAAAGTGACCATACCATCTCATGTGAGCTTCCACAAAATTTGCACCACACCACACGTTTGGAATGATTTCGACCCGTTCTGAGCACACTATCCCATCCACCAAACTCGCCATTTCAGCTGAGACTTGTCACGAAAACAGAGCTTCGATGTCACACCCTGAAACGCAAATCCCAATGGCACGGCCACATCCAACACCCCAAAAACACCACTCTCCACACGCTAATCCCAATGGAACTGCGCAGCAAACTGCGGATCTCACAAAACGCTGCGCCTGCGCAGTGAAATCATCCTCCACACTTCAACATCTTACATTTCCACACGATTCCTCGCTATTTCACAGGAATCTGACACGTCACGTTTTCATCCGAAACCCTCTCCAAAAGCTTCCCCCAATGCCAGCGCCTTAGCGCTCTACTGCGGACGGTTGCGAACGTAGAAACAACGGGTCGCGAACAAGGCTCTACCCCCAGACCCCCAGAGTTAAACGAGAACCCTTCGCTACCCATTCGGGAAAAAAAAACGTTGTATATCAAGCCGCTCTCCGAAGGCGTCGTGGCGGCATTTCCATTGGAAGGCTGCCTAGCATGCCAGGCACTAGCACCCAAGAGGACATGATGACATCCTCATGACATGCCAAAGCCATCAAAAGCGCTTCTGTAGCTTGGTGCTAATGCTCACGTGCTGGATAGTCCTGAGGCCCCTACAGTCAACAAACAAACGAGGCTGTGATGCCAGGTCAGAGAATCGTCTTGCCTTTCGACAAACACACTAAACACATCTAAACATCAATCGCTGCAACATGGAGGCCACAATTGGCAGCCAAGGTGTATTGGAGACGTCAAGCCCCTCAAACAAGCAAAAAACTTTGTCATAAAGACATATAAAGACCACGGTCTGGACCACACCTCCAGAAGCATTTTGTGCTGCATGTCTTCAAGTCTGAATGGCGCTACCTTCAAGAATCATAATTTGTTGTCACAAACTGCAGCAGTGATTCAACTTCAAGAATCTCGCCTGGTAGTAGAAGCTCAACTCCGAGACTGGGCCTAGAACAAGTAACTGCTTGTGAACGATATCGGCTTGACTCATTGTGACTCGATGTCAGTGCTGCAACAGCCTGTCAGTCCAGTCACCATCACTTCGAGGCCAAACATAGACCGGATGCCTTCTAGCGCCATCACCTTTGCTGTGCTCTGAAAAGTCACATTTGGGATCGCCAGCAATGCATTGCGACTTTCTGGGGGAAACGCGTTGGGCCAAAAAATGATGCAAAAGGGCTCGCCATGAGCCGCACAGTCGATAGCCAGACCTTTCACCAGGACCTCCAGGTGCTGCAAGACTTGAGACGCGGACTAACTTGGCAACCGCAGCCTAAAAAGAGTACTATGATTCTTTCTCAGCGGAAATGTGTTTCTTGGGGGTCAAGATTTCCTGCAGGAAAATAAGAGAAGGAAAAAATGGAAAGCTGGTGCAGGGGTGTCACGCTTTAAAGTCGGATTTCGTGGCAGGCAGGAAATCCAATTGTGGGGATTTGGACCCGCCAAGACCCACGAACAGAAGCCGCCAAAAGCCATCAGAAGCACGATCAAGACGAGAAATCCCCCTGAACTGGGATGGGGAACCCCTTCAAGCAACATCTCTACAGCACAGCTCAAGAGAACTGAATAGAAAGCTGGAACCTCTCCCTGTCGTTCCACAGCTGAAGGCATGCCATCTGTGAAGTCGATCTTCACCTCAGACGGCAGCGGTGTTGCAATGCCATTCAGTCTCCTTATTCCGAAACATGTCTGTTGCGATGCCATATGTGTGACTGAGTGCGCATACCCGCCATATCTGCACTGAAGTTTGCACAGTGGGGCCGTATCTGTCGAGCAAATCATGAAACTTTGAATGAAACGTTATGCAAGGAAACAATGTGAAGTTGTGGACAGAAATTTCTCCTTTACTACATGGCTTTCATTTTTGGCTATCTTGAAGCTGATTCTTGTTGGTCCTTGGCAAGTGAAATTGGGTCAGTTGCAGGCCTTCACCTTCAACTAGATAAATCAGGGAAAACAAATGAATTGCACTTCCCGGTGGGTGTGATTTGTTTTTTCACCTGAAGGAGTTGGGCATGATTGTCCATCCAGTCTGCCAGCCACATAGCAAGTGCGCTGGAACCCAGCCTCACTGCACAAATTTGCGCAAAGACTTTCAATGGTCCAATCCAAGTATAAGGCCACAGGGCGGATAGCAGATTGCATCCACTTGATTTGCAGGACAGCCTCATTGCTATGCACAAGGGCTAAAGGCCCCATGAAAATGACATTGAAAGCTCTTGGCCTTGAAGGCCAGCCCCAACGACTGTACTGCCAGTCCAAAGGACACAGGTATCTTGCCTCAAGCTAAGAGCTGAATCCAAACTTTTACTAACAAAACAGAGAAACAATATTGTGTGTACACACTTTGAAGGCCCTGTTTCCTTGCCTCCGACAGGCTCCAAATCCTACTTTTCAAGCTATGCAAACAAATGACTTGGACTCAACCCTGTTTGAGTTTTGTGGCGATGTCCTCGTAGACTTGGACTCAACAGCTTGCGACGCACTGCAAAAGCTCCTTCCGGATCGCCTGAGACTGGCCGGATCGAAAAGAGTCTCCAAAGACTCTTGAAACCTGACTCAAACAAACTTACCACAATGGCTTATCTCGGCCATGTGATTCAAGAAGAATCCCAGTGCCCCATGCAACATGCAACAGAAATCGGCACTCTTGGTAGTTGCTTTAAAGAGGGCTTTCTGCGAAAAGCAAGGTCCAGAAGTAGCGCTGTGCCGGGATGATGACAGAGCCAGTATTCAGGCCCTGTTTCAAGTGTTCTTTGCTAGCTTACCATGTACCTGAGGAGTTCTCGACGCTTGCACAAAAATTTACTACAGTAAATACCGGGCACCCAAGATGACCTCAAAATTTCAATCAATATATGGACCGGAGTTGCGTTAATGCACAAACTAAAATGCTTCAAAGCCTGCATGTTTTATGCGTTTCAGCAACGCTTATCTATCCGTTTTGGTTTGACGCCGTCTTGACTTATCGAGGCGGGATGGGCGGAACTCATGAACACATTAAGACAAAATGGTAGACAGAATGCAAATGAGCGCTCTCAACAGGGCAGAAAGGCTTAATTGTGTTGCTGGATCTGTGATGATGTCGGTAGTGCATGCACCAGGTTTTGCATACCCAGCATCATTTTTGCTTGAGGAGACAGAAGTTGTACAAGATTCATCTATTGGCACATCACTTGTGTTGTTTGGTCGAAACGAAGGTGGTGCCGCTTGCACCTGCTGAAAAGGCATTCACTGGATATATTCTGGGAGAACTATGGATATGAAATACAAATAATGACCTTCCAGCATGCCATTCATACATGGTTGAACCCTCCAACATCCAGCACGTGGTGCACAGGAATTGGGGAAAGCTGCATGCGCGAATCATACTATGCAGAAAACTCAAATAATATTCTGTGCCTGCCCTGGAGCATCTGCGGTAAAGAAATGTACATATACTGCATATTTGGCATTTTGGAGACGTCTCTTAGTTATTTTGCTCACTGCTGCCTTTTCGTTTACCATTGCTGGTCCCACCGGTGAGTGAGCCACTGCACTACAAAGACAGGGTCCAAAATGACAGCTAACAACATGGAACATGAATATGCATAGTTTGCTGTGGCCAACACCTTGACAAAGCGCAGAGGATGACCTTGACCTTCAGATCGATTCGAAGCAAGCCGAGCGGGTGGTGTCAGGGAGCACATTATTTTGATAAAGAATGTTTGTTTTCTACAGGTCTGTCTGGTGGCACTCAGACTGTCACTCAGGCTGTCTGCAAGTAGCCTTTGCTTGCGCAACCGCATCCACTCTCGGGTCAGACTTCATCTGCCTTGGGGAATGACATTGAATTTTTTTTGCCTAGTCTTGGGATGTCTTGGGTTCTGTCAATGACAGTGATGACTGTGGCCCGCACAGCATCGGCTGAAATGGTCCAAAAATGTCCACTTGCCACCTCACGTATAACATGCATGTATGCGTATATATGTTCTTTCTACTGACTATATATATATATATTATCAAAATTGTTGCTTTAATCCATGGTACCCCCTCCCCCCAAGTCTGCAAGCTTTATTCACGGGGGCCTTGAATTTGGGACAGCATACCGTACACTTTGTGCTTGTTTCTGATACACAAAAAACAGTGTGAGAAGTTCAACAACCAATTCATCAACTCTCCGACAAGAACTTATACAGTAATCAGAGTGAACTGCAGCCCCTTTATCCAAGTCACTGTCACTGTGGTGTTTTTTCTTGCCTACCTCCATCCCAGGTTCTCTTTTATTGAAAGTAAGATCTTCTAATGGAAAAGAGGCCCAAGAAAATGCCCAAGGTGCTTGGCATCAAGCTTCGCACACTAAGCAATGGCACCATCGCAAGCTCACCAACAAGCGTGTCTTTGCCAGACAATGCCGCCTTCAAAAGTGAATCTGCCAGCAAATCAGCGCGACAGCATGACCCGACTTCGGCACTTCAGCGTGACAACATGTCAGCATGTTGGCGTGACCCGCGCCAGCGCGCCAAGAAAACATGTCAGCGTGACACCACACTAGCACATCAGCGTGACAAACACAAGTCATGTCAGCGTAACGCATGGCAACACCTCAGCGCCTCAGAGATACACAGCATATCTGCTACGTAAGTGCTGCGGAACTACTCGGGCGTCTTTGCTATGGTTGAAGACCCCTAAGCCTCGCTGTTCGGGAAAAATGAACTCCAAAACCCTTTCATTAAAAGGATATGCTGTGATTTTGCGCCCTAGACTTCCAATCACTGCAAACCTATTCAGCCAGGTGGATCGATAACCATTCCATATGCTCGAACATAAATTTGGTTTAACGCCCCACTTAAAGCTCCTAAAGGCTACTTGGCAAACCTTGTCAAGCCAACCCCCAAAATTTGAGACATCCGGGCTTTTGGTTTGCAATCACTCCAACAACTGCACAGGCCCGAATTTGACAATTCTTTTAGGGCCAAGTAGAAATAACACTTAGCAATCGAGGAAGGTCACTTTTTGATATAGAAGAACTTTCAACAAAGGAGGCTTTGGGAAAAGAAAGAAGTGGCAAGGAAGATACATGCAAAATTGAACAAAGACTTTGATAAAGAAAATAATTTCATACAAGGAGGAAGGTCTTACGCAGCAACTAGCTTTGCAAAAAGGGCCTTTGTAAATGGGACGCGGCTATGAAGACATCTATTTGCACACACAAAGGAAAAGATTGGTACAAAGAAGAAAACTAACACTGATGCCTTACCTGAGTTGAACATGCTGTTTTGAGAAAGAATGACGAGATCCTTAGACATGAGGAGACTGTGTAGTGAGTTAAGTTATGAAGAGATCGACCTTTCAAAGAAGACAGTTGGGACCCAATTTTTTGCCAGATGTCTTTAAAGACTTACTTAAAGGGTAGATCTTACATATATACATACATATCCGAGCGGTCCAGAAACTGAAGTCGTGGCTTTGCATTTGTCCGTTCGTCCACGACAAGAATGTCGTTTAAAACGCTGTTTTCTGCACTGTTTGAAATGGAAGGCCAGCAAACGAAGCCTTAATTTCACCTCGTTTTGTTGAAACTTGGTGTTTCTCTGCAGTGGCGGGCCCGTTTTGCGCAACATCCCACCTCGAAAAAGCGGCGCGTTTTCGGGCAGAATTGCGAAGAACACACATGCCGTTTACCACGTTTTTCATCGGTCACGGTTCAAGTCCTGAATGCGACACGCCGTCGTGGCTGCCAAGTCTACATCCCTGTTTGATGTACCTTGGAAGCTTCTCACGTAAGTCACGACATTTGCATGATGAGGCGAATGCCCTTCCCAAAGCCCAAATGGAATCTAATTCCCGTGTGTACCGAGATCGTTCAGTGGCCGAGCACAACGGAGTCAACAAACTGGCCATTCGCATAAGACGCTATAGCGTGCAAGAGGTTTAGCTCTCTTGCCATGGCGACATAGCACTTTGCAAACCCCCACACCACCCCACGTGGGGCCTGATCCAACACACCAGTGTTTGCTCCAAAAGGTGCAAGCGTGCGAGCGGAAGCGATGCACCTTTCACGCTATGGCGGAAGTGCGAGCGTATATGGGCCTTGAGCCAAATGAAGTAACAAGGCTCTGAACATCAAGTGAACTAACTACTGACAAACTGGAAAAGACTCTACAAAATACATTGCGTACATACGCCCCGGCCCCTGCCCCAACCAATTTAATCACATTCTCGTTCAATGACAATCTTGTGAAAACGATGACAGAGTTTTGAGAACGATGACAATGTTGTGAAACCGATGCTATAACCCCCACCCCACCCACCCCAATTTAATCATACTCTCGTTCGATGACATGTTGTGAAAACGTGTGAAAAACGATGACTACCCCCCCCCCACAATCCAATTCAATCACACTCTCGTTCGATGACAATGTTGTGAAAACGATAACAATGTTGCGAAAACGATGACAATGTTGCGGATGACAGAAGATAACTGATGATGATGATGATGATGATGATGATGATGATCATGATGATGATGGTGATGGTGTTGATGATGATGGTGTTGATTCATGGTGATGACGACGTTCTCAAATACCATGAAATGATACTACAGTTCTCGGGTCGTAGGCATAAATATGCATAGATGATACACTGGAAAATAGATGCATGTACAATACATGGGAAAGTCTCACATCTTGCTCAAGACTGTCCCTCGGACTTGAGGTCAGCACGGCATGACATCCTCAAGTACAAAATTGGCACCCTGGAAACCAACAAATCAAGCCTGCTACAACAGTTTCCCTCAAGAAATAAGGGAGCTGCATCATCTTTCACCCGAAAATCGTCGACTGTCCTGACAAAGACTTGCAATGGCCTTGATCCCCCCTCTATTTGGAGTGGATGCTTCCCGTCGTTTAACCACGGACTCTGCAAAGCGCTCAGGATGCAGCATGGTATTTCCACCACATTCCTCAAGCGCCTGCAGAAAAGGTGTCGCACCAACATTTCAGCGTGCTGGGAATCTGGATGAACATGTTTCAACATCTGCCTTTGGCTCCTTCTGATGATTCCTTAACGCGTCAGGAGTTGTAGTACAGTAGCACAATTGGATACACTTGGCAATTGTGGGAAGCAACTAGCAAAGCACAAACGATTTGCTTTGGGTCAGCCAAGGGTCTCCAAATCCTTGATGAAAGTTTGCTGCTTTTCAATGAGCCTTGCCTTCTGCTGCATGAATCCCACCTTCATTCAAAGTTCGTATGCTGTTTGCTTCTCCAATGAACGACATCCGATCAAGCAGGCTGTCCGAAGATTCAAAGGCCTGACGCTGTCGAAAACCTTGTTGCTGCACGCGCTGCCTCAGCGGACTTGTTTCGCACTCTCAGCTTTGTCAACCAGGTCATGAGTCGTGACCAAGTCGCATGGTGTCATGACGCTGCGTTGGCTGCTGGGGCACTGGTTGAGGCGGCCTTCATGCAACAGGTATGTGGAACCTAAAGCTTGTTCCAATCACTCACAAAAGAGTGCTCTTTCGCAAAGTCCGCCCGCACCGAAGGTGCTGAGGCGTTGTGTAGGCTCGCATGGACTGGAAAATCAGCCCGCTAGATAAACAGCTTAAGCTTTAGCTTGGCGGGGATTTGGTCTAGAATGCTGTGCTTTTGATGCGTTCTAAAATTGAAAAAATGACATCGTGTGTATGATTGTCTGTATGGCTTCGGAGCTAAGCAATCGCGATCTCGATTATGCAGCCCGAGGGAAGCTGCATTATTGACATCGAGGGTGTGTTCGTCCCGTGTGTCCTGCCCGACCGAGAAAGATAGACCGAGACAGACAGACACCACACTCTCCGTGCTGGCGGCTTCGAGCGCGAAGCGCTGTGAATAACTAATTAATACCATGACATACCATGACTGCATATTGAGCGGGTCTTGAACGTCATTACCCACAATAATCCTTCCAGTTTTGAACTCGCCAACCGCGCCTTGCATGAGGTGCAAGGAGGCCCTGCTCCACAGCATCTACCAATGACCCTTCACAGTGTAGTACAGAGACCTGTTTACAGGAAGGACATCAAGACATCTGAATCTCAAAGTGCAACCTGCCCTCCAAGTAGATGCTCTAGGGACTCGGAGCTCTTCTGTTTCATTGGATGCCTATGGTCACATGCACCGGGACTTTTCTCTGGCCTGCCCCATCTGGGATGTCAAGAGGTGCTTCAATGTTTGTCCAAGATCAGGTCCATGGCCATCACCTAGATGTTGGGACAATGGAAGAGGAGAATACTAACCGGAAAGAAACAAATAGTTTGGGGGAAGATCCCCATCAGTGGCGTTACATGCTCGCATGCTTGCAAGGGACAAGTGGACAAGTACATACCTCGATCTATGTGTCTCTGTATGCAGAGGAGGCAAGAAAAAGATTTACATATCCCACCTAGCTTGGACGACCGATGGCCAGGTGGTGGTTGTAGGGGCTGGAGCACCTCCATCCAAGCTTCAACGAGTTGTTGCACTATGCACCGAGTTTCAAGTCAGAAGAAGTGTCCAAGAGATAATCTTAAAAACTGACCTCTTTAAAGGGGGCATTAATTGGTTTCCTCTTTTTTGTCAATGAATCACCCAGCCTCGGACAATACATTGCACACAGCCTGAAAAAGCAAGGCTTTGCACAGAGTGTTATCCACGTGAGGTGTTCATTCTGCTGCACAGAAGAGGTTTACCGTGCAAACTGTCAACCACATTCTGTGTAGCGCCTAGAGTCCTAAAGGGTACGAATCAACTTGGGAATTCAGCAATCGAACCAACAGTGGAGACAAAGTAATAATCAAAGCTGGCAGAGACAAAAGAAAAGCCAAAGCGAACAGTGAAAGGAGAGACGAACGATGAGAACTCTTGATAAAGTGCAAAATGTACAAAACTCTGGCGACCCCGTGGAAGCAGGAAGGCGCCAGTGAGGAAAGTTCTCAAGGAAAGTGCGTCAAGGTGTTCTTTAATCGTGACAGGCCAAGGAATCACCAATGTAGACAGAAGGAGGAGAGCTTTAAAATGAAAGCAACAATCCAGATGTAACTTTCTGTATGACTTGTTATTTTCCACTATTTCATCTTGGCCTATAAACATACAAAATGAAATGGTTAGATCTGGAACTGAGAAATAGTTTCAAGGTTGCTGCATGTGCGCGCGCGTGTGAGTGCAACATAGACGAACCATCTGTGTGTTTCACACTTGGCAGAAGACGAAAACTTGAAAGATTACATAAATTGAAACAAAACTCCAAGCATCTCCAAGCCAATAAGGAGATTCAGGGAGGTTGAAGTTTATCGAAGTGAGGACCGACAGGACTTTGGAAGGACAGTCAAAACTGCTTCGGGGTCCCTTGTAAAGAACGTGCCAGACAAAGAATACACAGACAAGGACTTTACAAACTGACCTAGGCGAGAATCCTGCAGCCAGTCACCCAGTTGCCACTGAGGTGCATGCAACACATTGGGTATTCAGGTGGCAACTGGGACTACAGGATTATGGGCTCTTTCCAATTGACTGCACCCTCGTATCCTCTGATCATGTTGACGATGCATTCGATGTCAGTAAGTCGATTCCATGTGGGATGCTTGAACTGAATCACTCTCACTGCTAAAATCTGTCGAAGGTGTTGGCTTGAATCAAACTTGGTTTTGAAGCGTCAACAACGTCTATATAGAAAACCGGGGATGAAAACGTGATTGTCTGGATATGAAAACTATAAGTCTCTTGCTTCCATGACAATCTCCTCAGTCCAGACAGGTTGAGTGTTGAGGCCTGACTTTCTCCTTGAGATTGGGTTTCTTTCTTTCTTTATGCATCTTCCGCAACTTGCAACCTGTCAACCACGCCTCCAAGTGCAAATTGCTCTCAACCACGGTTGACCCACATAGCCACCGAACAAATTGGAGCATGTCCAAACTCCTTGAAACCTTCGTGCCAGGTTCAAGCACACAAGCATGGCACACACGCTTTCCACGCTTTCTCAATCTGATTGCTCATGCTCTTTACAATCAATGCACCTCTGCATCTCCTGAAAGTGCAATCTCTTCTTCAGGCACCATCGGCACCTTGTCTCAAACTTGTCCAGTCAGTGTTGCCACACACAGGCAAAAAGGGGCCTTCTGCCCGTCTTCAGATTCCATCACCTTCGCGAGGTCCTCACTGAAATCATTTGCCATGCGACAGCTCCAGCACCAAATCTCGACTAGTGACTAGTAAATACTGTATGTAGTTGACGCAAGGGAAGTGGGTTCCAATTGGTTCCAACCGGTTCTGAGCTTCCCATAGCTTATCATAGCTTCCCTTGATGAATTTCTCCGCCTGTATTCTGAAACTCTTACTCTTCGAACACATCTCCAGTGTTTCACAGGACACTGTATGATGCAAGCCACACCGCTCCTGCGAAGCTGCTGATTCAGAGAGTGGGTTTAAGTGCGTGCTCAAAGAAGTCCTCGCAATCTTTAAGGCGAAACAATGCAATGCTCAACGTACTTCATACACGCAGTGGTCAACAAGCTAGGGGCCGCTCTTGGAAAGCATTGGTCTGACCTCAAGGAAAGAAAGGCACCACTTGACTGTGGGAGTGAATAGAAGAGAAAGTCCCATGTGGCTCACACTTCCTAGACAGAAGGCTACAGCCCAAGTCTCGCACTTCAGAAAGCAAGCACCTGGCAGAGCAGGCTCGGTAACGACTAAAGAGAGCATTCTTGCAGCCTTCTTGCCTTAGGCTTTAGACACTTAGCGAAAACAAATAAAGAAGAAACAGTTGTCAATAAACTTATATAAAAGGTCTAAAAAGTCTAAATGAAGAAGGAAGAACAAGGTGAGCCCGAACCCAAAAGCAAAAACGGGAGCGCACTTGTTTAGCAGAGCCAGGAGTGGCACAGTCAAGCAACGGAATCCCGGGAGTTGTGCGGATGCTGTTGTGTCTGGTTGGTAAGTTTGTGGAGCTATGCCGGTTGGTACATATATAGCAAAAAGTTCGACACGAAAGACAAGTGTCTTTTGAGAACTCATAATAGATATATAGCATATATATATAAGTATGTGTGCACTTACAGGAACTTGGCCATTTCGTCACCTGTGCCATAGGCGTTGTATGCAGGGTGTCTGTTCGCGTACGGGCTTTCCTCACATCGGGCAGGTGGCATCTCTGCCGGCCGTGTTGCCTTCCATCTGTGCGGCTCGTCCGCTCCTTCCTTGTTCACTGCGGACAAACTTATCAACAACCATGATTCTGGGGTTTGGCCAGTGCTCAAATAACATGTATGACATGTTCGCATCATTTAAGCAGCCATCCTTCCTCCCTTTCTGCAGCTTGCGCTCTATCATGGATGCGCCATTCTGCGCGGAAATTCGATGGCTACGCGTTTGCAGGAGCCTCCCTCCCTCCCCAGTGGAGTGTCACACAGAGATACGCGGGTGCCCCAACCTATTCCCCGCGGTCAGAAACCCAAGCATCAGAGACGCTTCTGGGGGGAAAGAAGGAACGAAAGAAAAGAATGTCAAAAGGTCCAAAAGAAAAGTAAATGTAATTACCGCAATAGAAACCAATCTACATGTCACATTATAATGTACACATATTAATACATCTATAAGCGACACCTAAGACCTAAGACCTTTCCGACCGCGGCAATGAAGGTCAGTGCTGCGATGGCCCTGGCCGTGACCACGATTCCAGACCAGCACTGTCCAACGCGGCCTGGGCTTTCTCAAGAAAAAAATGAGTAAGGTACAGCAATGGTATACCCCTTCAAACGATGCTGACCTTCCTTTTTTCAGTACCTTTCCTTCCTTCTCGCAACATCCACAGTTTAGATTGACTGCCTGCAAGTTCTCTGCATCACTGACAATGTCGCCAGCAGATGTTCTGCCCTGCAGTTCACAAAAGACAAAAGGTGAGCTTGATACAGGCAACAGTAGGCCGCTGAATGTCTGGCAAAACACAAGCAAAGGATTGCCTGATTCAGCTTGAGAGAACCCCTTGAACGAGCTTGAGAGCCCACGATCACTTCGCCCCGTGACTTGTCTGACTTTTCTGCCTCAGCTGGTTAGGAGCACCGAACCAGCGAAGCAAACGCGCAAAGCAAAGTCACTTGGGCAATTGGGCAACTGGCGTCTTCTTCACCTGGGCAGCTGGGCAATTGCACACAAAGATTCACAAAGCTCTCAAGCTCACTCAAGCTCCCAAGATTCACAAGCACACTTGCTTTCGTAAAGCACACTCAAACACACCAGGAGATTCAGTCCTTGGGGCGCATTTAACGCTCGCTCCAAATCGGTCAGTCTAGCCTGAAGCACCCCCGAACCAGAATTGAATCCACCAGCTTCACATCACCAGTCACTGGGAAATGGCACCATGACTTCCGCAAAGGAATGTTGAAAGCAAGCTCGTATGCCTCAGATGACAAGCCAAGCAAGGCACCACGCGGCACTTCAATGTACTTGGATATACTGTATATATACTTCATACTTCCTGGAAGGCTTCTCATCGTGAGCCACTGGCGGTCCAATACCCAAGGCTGGCTCTCACCTCTTAGAACAACGACCTCAACACAACACAGGGCGACAGTGATAAATCTATTATGTATTTACCCATATATATATATATATACATGTTGAAATAAGGTGTTAGATAGAAAAGCGTTCCAAAGAAAGCATTCGACCTGGCCTCCGATGACAAGCTTCGCCGAGACTGTGCCTTTGACAGTTGCCTCGGGTTGAAGAAGTCAAAACGAACAAAGCGCTTTCAGGCTCAATCAGGAGAACACAACTAGCGATGACCTCCAACCTAATAGCTATGGCCTTCAGCCTACTCAAAACTCAATCTCCTTTACGGGGAGGAACAGTGCCTTGGTGTGCTTCGCACCGTTCCCTGCGGCTGGCAACAGGCAAATACTGTCACAAAATGGCAAAGAGCTCAACCTTGCGGACAGCCTTGACACCGAAAAGGTGGTTCGGAACCCGCATCGGTGGGAAGTTCCAAGCCTTAAGATATCTGCATCAATTCATCCGCAATATCTCCAGTATCCCTTCCCGACAATCTGTCAATCTGTGAGCAAAGTGCCGAGAAATCTGCATCTGACCTGCCAAAATCTTTCTTACATCGAGACGTATTTTGCGTTCTGATCATTAGCTTATCTTAGCTCCCTAAAAGCCAAAAATATTGAGAAAAGTGTGCTTAATAAACTTTGAAAAATGACTCAAATATCTATTTTTTTTTTGCACGCCTTTTCTGAGTGCCTATGACGGAGCGAACATTTGTCGCAAGTCTTTCGAGGGTGTGCTGCTGCACCTTTGCCGCATCTTCGTGGTCAGGACGAGGAGGTTCTCGACAATCTTGGTCCTGCCATGGCACCTAGTGCACTCAACGGACATTCCATGCCTGGCCAGAGTGTGCGTGACGTGGGCCGTGTTGAGGCTCGGTTCGAGTGGCCCACAATGGCATGGTTCTCCGATGAATCTGTTGAAGGATTCTTCATTCGTCCTGGCGAGAATGTAGCTCCGGCATTCTGTGCAGCGCAAGTATGCACGATCCAACTGAAGATGATGGATTCCTTTCTTTGGGCCTTGCTGCCCGGAGACCAAGGCATGGATCACCTCCATTCTTGTCAGCTTGGGCTCAGTCTTGCTTGGAGCACTTTGACATGGCTTCGCATTGGCTTCCTTGAGCTCGGCAACTAAGCTCTTGCTGTGGTATCTCAGCTTGCATAGCCCACATTGGATGCCACTTCGGAAAGCCTGCCATTGATGTCCAGCTGGCGAAGGTTTGCTCAACAAGTCAGCCAGGAGTTCTTTCTTCTGCTGGATGAGCGGGATTTTGTCCTTGATGCTCTCTTCTTTGCGGTGCATGAAGTGAGTTTTCTCTTTGAGAAGGATGCTCATGCGTTCTCCCGCACTGAGAAGGATCTCATGGGCGTCATCATCCACATGTGACTGCAAGTCAAGGATCTCTTTGGGCTCGAAGAGCTTGCCGGTCTTGTTGGCTAACTTCTGGGCGTCAGCTTGAGTGACCCGCCTCATCTCATTTTGAGCAAGCTCCTTGGTGGAGAAGAGGAGAGGCCAGACATGGGTCAAAGTCTTCATACTCTAAGCCTTTGAAGAGGTCAGGAAAGGCTTCAAAAGCTGCATGCGGCTTCCAGGCTTCCCATACGCCGGCATCGTACAGCGCAACTGGAGTTCTCTCGATCACATGTAATGCCAAATGCTTCAAGGCGTAGAACAGGGCCCTCTTCTTGGTGGCCGGAGCCGGGCAGATTCCTGTGATCGAGGCCACTTGCTTGCGGGAAGTGGTGAGGTGAGCACAAATAGCAAAAGCAAATCTCTTACGCCGCTTGTCTCCACAAGTGGGAGCGACCGCAATGGAGCAGATGTGGCTTTTGTCGAGCTTGAGGTGACCAAGATCCTTCCAAAGTCCAGTGCCTTCAAGGGTGGCACATCCTTCCTCTGGCTCATAGAAAATGCTCTGCGCAAAGCCCCTTTGCCAAAGCTCTGGGTCCGTGCCTGCCTCCAACCTGCTTCGCCATTCTTCAGACAGATCTTTGACCCTCCCTTTCCAGAAACTGCATTGCCAAAGCATGTGAGTGAAGGAGAGCTCAACCCCACAAAGAGGACAATGCCCACAGACCCCATGGAGCGTGCCTTGGTGGAATGCCCTCAAGCCTGTGGCCAGCTGTTCACTCGTTGTTCTCTGGATGCAGTGGCTGATCATCCAATCTAACGGTCTTTCGATGTCGTGGCAACCCTCATACCTCGTCAAGCGCAGAAGCCGTTGCCAGCGAAATTCCTCCTGGATCTGCTGATGCAGAATTGGCCAAGGGTCTTCCAAAGCAAGGTGACAGTCAGGTATACCGCCATAGCCGGTTCGTTTCCAGATGTCAAAATCCAGGTCCGACAAGTAAGCTTGCAGAGCTTGCAGTGGTCCAGAGACAACTTGCCACCGATAGCGAACCTTCTGAAGAGCTCCCAGGGCTGTGTTCCAGCTTGTCCAGAAGAGATGTTGCTTGCTCTCATTGAAGCTATGCAAGACTTTCCAGACCGTGTGCAAATGCTGGAGGATGATGGAATCTCCTGGATCAGGTTGACTTGGATGCATGTCGAAAACAACATCAGCTGACCCAGATCTTTGAAGTTTGAGTCCTCTGCCAGCTAGCACTCTGAGCTGTTGTCTCCGTTGTGGAGCCAGTCCATGTGCTTGTGCGCCCCACGACATCACCGGATGCACTGCTCCTTTGTGGAGCCTGTAGCGGATTCCTTTGGTCAAACGAAGGCGATGCAGAATCCCAACCCGGCCTTTGCCTTTGAGGAAGCGTTTCTTGACCTGCTGTACCCGTCTCTTGCGTCCAGCTGTTGAGTCCACTCCCAAGTCTCTGAGGACATCATAGTGTTCAGGATTCAATGCTCGCGCTGCTTCCTTTGAACTGGTGAGGAATCCATTTTTGTCTGCGTTCAGCTTTAGACCGGCCTCTTCAATCTGCCGCTTCAAAGTTCTGAAGGCTCCCAAAGCTTCTCTTGCTGCGAAGTCTGCATCCCTGCTGTGGATGTCGAAGCTCACATCATCAACCCAGGTTTGCAGAGAGACCGCAGGGTGATCTTGAACCAAGGCCTTTAAGGGCTTGAAGAGGATCAACTTGGAGATGGCTGGAGCCTGAGGGCATCCTTGTAGGATGCCTTTGTTGTAGTGCTTGGGATCTCCATTGATGCCTTCCGCTTGAAGGGTTCGAGGACCTCGACAAAGGTCCAGAGCAAACTTGAGGTGCAGCGGAGGATAGGCAAGCTCCCTGGCCGGTTCAATGATCTGATCCAAGTCCACATAGTCGTAGAAACAAGTGAGATCAGCTAAGCAAGTCACCGTGTGCACTCCTTGGTGTTTGGCAATCTCAGCATGGAGCATGCGGCCAATGGCTATGCTCAGGCAGTCACGACCAGGGCGAGCTTGATCCCACGGCAGCTGCTCATCCAGTGACAGTTGCCATCTCTGCAAGTCAGCTTTGCGGCAGCTGCACAACCGGTACAGACAACTGGTGAGCGCAATGGGCCTTTCAACCTTGATGTTCTTGGGGATGAGCACGATGTTGGTCACCCGAAGCTGGATGCCTAATTCGCCTTCCCTTTCCATGGAGGTGAGGAGGCCTGCAAGCTTCTCCACTGCTGGATATGGCAAATGCCTCAGGAAATCATAGGATATCCCGTCCGGACCTGCTGCTTCGTTGGGCAACCTCCGCATCAACTGTTGAAGTTGGTGTGATTGGGTGGGAGGAAACTGTTGAGCTTGATCGACAGCAGCTTGATGAAGGAGGTCCCACTGACGAATCGGTCGAGGCCCTGTCCGTGGAGTCCAGATGTTGCCCCACTGTTCTTCTCGTGCCTGATGTCTCTGTTCAGCAGGAAGGTGTTGAAAGGGTCGTTGCCATGGGACATCACGCTGCCGAAGATTTCGGAACAAGCCTCGTAGCCCTTTCTGATGCGCTTTTTCCAGCCACATACGATATTCGTCACTCGTGGTAGAGAGGATGGCTTTGCGTGCCAGCTGCTCTTCTTCCGCAATGATCCGCCGTATCTCGAGGGGCTCATTCTCAGGATTGTCAATCCAGTGCCGAACCAAAGCTTTGAAGAGATCCTGACTCATCCCATCCGAGGCATGGATGTGCAAGGTGTCCATCATGTTGATGAGATCCTGGGCTACTTTGGAGCTTTGGCTGTGGTGCGCCACATTGACTCGAACTTTCATCTTTTCCCAGAAAGCCACGTGCCCTTTCTTCCAGACCTGAGATCTTGTGTGATCAACCAGGGGAGCATTGTAGAGAGAGATCTTGGAGCCTCTTCCCTTCATCGGGTTGTGCAAGAGTTGCGTCAAGTACTTCTCGGTTTGCGTGGCCCATCTTGCCAAATCCGAGCCCAATCCAGTGATAGCTCGGCCCATAATGTGATCCTCTTCCCAAAAGCTGGTCCACGTGGCAGGGAGTTGGAAGGTCTTCCCAATTGGAGGGAATCTCTGAAGTTGTTGAACTGGAACAGCAATGTGATCACATTGGAAAGAGATGGCCAAGGCACAATGAGGTTTCCAGGGTACATCCCAGTCCGCCTTGAGCGACAAGCTGCTAGCCAGTTGCCTGGAGACCAACAGATAATCCAGTTGAGCACCTTGAAGTGTGGTACTGCTGTGCGTGTCCAGAATTTGAGCCTTGAACTTGCTCTGGATGACAGTAGCCGCTAAGGCGTCCGGTTCATTCTGCCAATCACCCCCAACGATGAAGGGAGCGTTCAAGTGATCCAAATACTGCAGCAGCTGAGCCAAAATCTCCGCGTTCAAGGGTGATTGTAGAGTTTCACCAGTGCGCAAATAGAGCTGAACCAGGAATATCATCACCCCTTGTCGCTGCAGTCCAACCGACATCCAGCCATTGCCCTCTTTGACAAAGGAATGATCCATGTGAGTCAAATGTCTGTTTCCATGCAAGACGAGAAAACCACCGGTGTTCCCTCCTCTGCCAGTGTCATGAGCAGGAATGCCATGACTCCTCAAACCTCGAGAGTTGAAGTATTGTTGTGCCATTTCCAGCTTCTTTGGACCCAGGTGAGTTTCCTGGAGGAGGAGGATGTGCTCACCCTTAGTCCATATCCAGTCTTGAACTCTGCTGCCAAAGGAGGTGACATTGCTAAAAACAATGGAGAGCTCTTCAGAGTGGATCTTGGCCTTTTTGGGCGCGCTGGGCTCCAAGGCCTCAACTGCATCAGGCACTAGCTCTCCGCTGTAATCCTGCACCAGCCAGATCTGGACAACCTCTCTTCTATGTTGTTCCGTGAGGCGCCTGATGGGAGTTGGATATTGATCATCATCCGCCAGCCAGTAAGCCTTGTCCAAGGAGTGGATGGCAACATAGTGACCATTTTCATGACCTTGACCCAAGTGAAGGACTATGCTGACCACTTTGAAGTTTGCCAAATGCACATGAGAGCCATCCTCAGAAAAGGGAATGTTGATGTGCGTTGGAATCTCAAGCTCCCGGTCATGTTTGGTCCATGTTCCTTCAACAAGAGCAGATCTTTGGAGGTGAAGAATCAAGGCTCCCGGGGCGCCGTAGAGAAACTGCCCTCCTTCTTCATCAGCCCATTGTTTGACGATCTCCTCCAGGGTGATAGGTCGTTCACCTGGCGGGAAAATCATGTTCAACGGCACCTGCTCCCTTTCTTCAGTCCGTCCATCGTGGTGTACATGAAAGAACTTTCCTCCGAAGAAAGTGCCCCTTGCAAAATGCCAGAGGTGTCCCACGAAGTCACCAACATCTGCTTGATTGCCTTCTTGAAAATGCCGACAAACTTGGTTCATCTGGTCAAGCCCCTGCAAGGTGGCAGGGTGAGATTCCGAGAGGAATTGCCGGACCGCTGTGTGGGTGCGCCCCCATGCCATGGATTGGTCCTCAGCGTGAGCACCCGTCCAGCTCCAGCATCGAAAAGCAGAATTGCCAAAACACATATTCTTGGGATTGGTGAGGATGCTCGTCAAGGCTTGAGCAATCACATAGGCATTCGTGGGCAAGGAAGTGTGGTCTCCTTGCACCGAGAGATGTTTGTGAAGAACATTCTCTAATCTCTTGAAATCACCCAAAAAATTGCTGACCTTTGGAGATTGTCCATTCTTGCTCGTACTCAGAGCATGACTTCATGAGATCTTGCTTGCGCAAATCATATAGGGCTTTTTGCCCTGGCGTCAAAATTGAGTCCCTCATGTCTGGAACATCGTCTTCCATGAGGTCCACCAAAAGTGAGGCTAGCCTGACCTGAGGAGTCCCGCACGTTGCAGTGCTCTGGTGAGCCTGCACGGAGGTAGAAGAGCTCGGTGCTCCTCTGTCAGGCTGCGCCTCCCCCAAGGGAAGAGCTTGTTGGATAGCTCCTCCTCTCAACTTGAAAAACCCAGACTGATGCTTCCAAGGTCCATAGCTTCCCCTCGGACCCTTGGCTCTGCTCGAGCCTGTGGCTGCAAAATCAAAGGAGTTGACTGATGCCCTGCAACTCATTTGAGAACCCCAAAAAATCTGACCATGAGTGTCAGAAGCCCCTTGTCGTGTCGTATCAGGAATCGAACTGCCAGGTGCAATCCTCAAGGTGTTACCCGCACAAAGAAGTCTCACCTGGCACAGTGCGGCGCCTCTTGTTTTCTTCCTCCAAGCTCTCGGCTGTGGGCCTCTTCAGCATAGAGCTGAGTTGAGCCTTTTGGTCTTCAGTGAGATTGACTCCAAGAGTGGAAATGAATCCCTCTACGGCAGCAGGCACTGTGTCCTCCATTGGTGCCCCTTCTTGAAGTTCTTCAGCCGGCTTGTTTGTGTTCACCATGGCCATGTAGGCCGTGCTCGTTGCATTCAAAGCCCCTTGCTCAGCTTCAAGCTTGGATTGGATGTTCTTCATCTCTTCCAGCATGTCTCCATAGGTCTTTTTGGCCCTGTCGAGCTTGTTCTGCAAAACCTGCTTTCGATGGCTTAGATCTCTCAGGGTGGAGACCTGGCCTTTCAACTTCATTGCCATGTCCCTTTCCGTGGCGGGAGGTGGCTTGGTGATCTTCTCGACCAGGGCCTTGACTGCAGTAGGAAGTTGGGAGAGATTCTCCTTGAGCACATCCGTGAGGTCCGGTTCAGGATTCGGATCCGGGGGCTTGATTCCCAACTGTTCAAGCTGTTGTTGAAGCTTGGAGTCGAGGGTGCTCCATGAGGTGGTGAGCAAGTCTGCCGTGGCCTTAAAGGTCTGATTGACCCTGCCATTCTTGCTTCCCCCAAGTCCTGGAGGCGGGGAGATGGGTTTCTGTCGCTGCTCATGCTTGGGTGTGGATCTGGTAGGGGATCTTCTGGAGAACCCATAGGTAGGTCTCTGCCACTCCAGTCCGCATTTTCTGCAGACAAAACCTTCACAGATCTTGTCCTCCCACATCCAGTTGGAGCACGTAGAGCTCTGGCAGCATTGATAGCTGCGCCCCCATCTCATGGCCTCCTCGTCAGGCTGGTAGGTGAAGCCTCCCTCTTCTGGCTCGTGAGCGAGGTGGTAGAAGTCGTGAAGAGCCAAGCAGTTGGCCCCGCTGAGCTTGAGCCAGAAACTTGAGCCACTCAAATATCTATGAATACGTACATATATATATATATGCATACGTATAGTGTAAGCTTCTTGGCACGTTCAAAGGAAGCGGCTCCACCTTGAAAACCTCTGCTCTTTCGCTTCTGATACAGAGTCTGTCAGGCTTGCCTGGGACAATTGGTTTCCTTGAACATTTGGGGGCCTTGAGAGCAAAGCATTTGCCTTTGAACGTTTGCAAAAGCTTCAGGCCTCTCTGGCTTTGTCTTACTTTTTGACTACTCAAAACGCCGCTCTTTGAAGTCGCAAGGTCCTAACACAAGAAGATGTATGCGTGGTTGAGAAGAGGCTTCTGCTGCTGGAAGTGCCTGAAAGCAAGCAGCATCCAATAACATTCAAGACAGTCCCAAATCTCTGATTGAGAAGGCCTGCCATCAAGGCAGCTGCGTGCTCTGGCCTGATGACAAAATGGGGTGCAACTTGTTAAGCTGTGGCAATGCGTCTGAGGGTATCGCACTCCAAGCGATTCCAGCATGCTTTGGTCCGGCCTCATGTTTCTTTTGATGTAACGTAAGAGAGTTCAACTAGCTCCAAGACTACACAAAGTATGGGGGTTCGCTCTTCTACCCCACTGCGATGACAGCGGGGATGGACTAGTGAAGCAACTAAAAAGGTATGTCCATGTATTTTGCTCCTGAAGACTCCAACAGATTGCCAAATGTTTAAAAGCACTGTTAGTTATGCAAATGATGTCAATATTTTTCGCAGTACTGCTCTTGCAATTGTCGTGAAACTGTATGCATTCAGTCTCGGGCCATTCATCATCAGCTTGCTTGGATGAGATAAAGGATCCCCCCCCCTTGGCACATGGTCAAGCAACAAATCCAAACCCATGATAACTCTGTCAGGTGTGGGCATTTTCTATTGCATAGGCAATTCTGCTGGGAGTGGCACATCTTCCGGCAATGGCTGGAGGCGGTGCACGTGATCCTTGTTGTTTCGGCTTCAGAATCTGAACCCCACTTGTATGTCTTTTCCACGTGCTATTTCAGATATCACGGGCAGTGCTTAGTCCGCGCACTACTCTTTGAAGTCCCCGTGCAAGCTCTCCAGCCTGGAAAAAACGATCAAACAAGCTCCAGCATTTCGAGATGAAGAGGCAATGAATCGAAAGTTAGATGAGCAAACACTATCAGACCAAAACAAGTCTAAAAGAAACCTCTGAAGGGTCCATTTGAGGCCGAATGTAGGGTCACGGTTGTACTTGAGGCCAGGGGGAGAGGTCGACAGCTAGCCAAATCGCACCGGATGTACTAGTTACATAGTCGGCAAAGCATGTAGATGACATGTTTTGGGAGGAAGGTTGCTATGTACATACTTTGCGCTAAAGAATGTAAATGTGACATCGCTGACTGGGAAGGGTACATTGGAACAACCCAGGTGCACTCGTTGGCAGGCACGAAGATGCGTGATCGGCAACTCTGGGGGGTAAATTTACCCTCCGCTTTTGTATGCCTTGAGTCGGAAAGAGGGGTAAGCATTTCTGACATCATACGGACTGTACATACACTAGGGCGTCCGTAGTGTAGGAGAAGCACGGGTAAAAGGTATATGGAATAGAGTGTCTTGAGGAAATAGCCGGTGTATGGTTATTGCAAATCTGGGGGGTAAATTTACCCCCCGCTTATGTATGCCTTGTGCTGGAAAGAGGGGTAAGCATTTCTGGCATCACAAGGACTGTGCATACACTAGGGCGTCCGTAGTGTAGGATAAGCACTGGTAAAAGGTATCAAGAATAGAGTGTCTTGAGGAAATAGCCGGTGTATGGTTATAGCAAGCCTGGGGGGTAAATTTACCACCCGCTTATGCATGCATTAGGTTAGAAATAGGGGTAAGCAACTTGTAACGGTGAAGTACAAGTCCTATGCAGCAAGCAGCAGCCAGCAGCCAGCAGCAGCAGCAGCAGCAGCAGCCGCCTGGAGCCAGCAGCCAGCAGCAACCACCAACCAGCAGCCAGCCAGCAGCACCACGCAGCAGCAGCGCAGCATCAAGCCGCAGCAGCAGCAGCAGCACCATCGGCAGCAAGCACCACCGGCAGCAAGCAGCAAGCAGCAGCAGCAAGCAGCAAGCAGCAAGCAGCAAGCAGCAGTGGCAGCGGCGTCGTCAGCAACAGCAGCAGCAGCACCAAGCCGCAACAAGCAGCAGCTACAAAAGCGGCAACCAGCGGCAGCAGCAAACAGCAGCAGCAAGCAGCAGAGCGGCAGCAGCAGCAGCACCCTTTACACCAAGCCACCGTTTACACCCAACCAACCACCTTCACACGTTCAACCAACCCCCTACACGGCGCAGCTGGGAGTTGAACCGCGGGGGGGGGGGGTTAGCTTGATATATCAATCTTTAAGGCACGCAGCCCCTCCCACCACAACATTGCTAAAGCAAAGAAGAACTCAGCTAGCATGCTAGCTTTCGTGATTATGCTAGCTTTCGTGATTATTCGGAAACTAAACGGTTGTATGCGGATTCGGAAACTAAACGGTTGTATTCAGAAACTGGAGGGTTCTATTCGGAAACTGGACGGTTGTAATTATTCGGAAACTACAGAGCTATATTCGGAAACTGGTATTCGGAAACTGGACGGTTGTATTCGAAAACTAATGTTGGGAAACTACGAAGAGCAAAACCAACACTATTCACGAATATCATCAACTTTTCACGCAATACCCACCTATGCTTATTGCCCCCCACCCCCCCCACCCCACCTCCACAAATTTTATAGAATACGAGCAACATAGTTTCTGAATACCACAAAAACAGTTTCTGAATACGACAGAGTCGTTTCTGAATAATTACGATGAAAAGAGTTTCTGAATACCACGAGAATAGTCTTTGAATACAACGAAATAGTTTCTGAAGACTAGTTTCTGCATACAGTGCAGTTTCTGAATACGACTTTGTTCCCGAAGGTAGAGGCCAGTTGCAAACCTCTTTGTCAGAGACGCGGGGTTCTGTCATTCATACAAACTGTTTTGATAACAGGGTCTTCCTCGCTAGACCTTGACAATCACAGGGTTGGCTTTGCTGCTGGCAGGAACAACAACAGTTTGTCTCCCAATATCCGATACTTTGGGACCCAAACAAGCTCACAACAAATGCACTACACACTCTTCTGAGAATGGACTAAAGAGGAGGACCGACACACAGAAAATGCTTTCTTCAACAAGAGCGATTTTCATTGCCAAGATATTGCCTGTGGTCTGTACAGTGCTGCAAGTTTGCCTCTTCCCAAACAATAAATATCAAGATGAGAAAGGATGAACTTGCAAACAAGTTCGAAGGCTGATCGAGGCAATGACTGTGTTATGTACTGTAATCATGTGTCTTGTCTGCTGAGCCTGTGTTGCACTCCTTCTCCGACGGGATGACAAGCAGTTCCTGGAGAAAAGCAAGATTGAGAACGAGAACACATATGAGGATATATGAGGTAATTCCAGCTCGTAATGGGCATTGCCAGTGTGCAAAGAGAGGTTTTGACACAATTGGTTTGAGTCTTCACACTCCAAGTCCTTGTGTCTGTCCGCTCTGCGTGCCCTGTCCTGCAAGCATCGAGATGTGTGATTGTGCTGAGAAGTGGACAAACAAGACCTTATATTTTCTCGCTTCCTGAACGAGGGTCTGGCAGTTGCTGGGATACGAGGTAGAGAAGAAACCTGTTCAAGGAATTCAGACATCAGATGGCTAAGCGCAAATGTCAAGCTGCCGACCGGAGGCCCACAACCTTGCAAGCAACTCAATAAGTTCCATGAACATCGGAAGCTTGGCTTGGCTCCAGGCGTAAGTCAAACTCACCAGCTTTGCCGATCAATATATCTGGTCTTAGCTGTCCAGAGGGGCCATTCCTCAGTGCTAGACATTGTAGCTAGTAACAAGGACGCTACTAGGAGCAAGAAACTACTAGGAGCTCCTGACCTTACTACTAGGAACAAGAAGCTACTATATAGGGCCAAACCTTCTACACTGAAGACTCCCAGGTCCCAACAATGGCAAGCGTGGCATCAATTTCACCTGTCCCAGCAGCCAGTCTCCGCACCCACCACACCCCAAAACTCAATCTCGAGTCTCGAGCCTCTTTTGACTCGCCATGTTTCTTCGCAACATTGCGACCTTGGAACCCAATTGCTGTTTTGTCTCCGTTCACCTCCCCTGACAGCACTCAGGAAGTCACCTAGCAACGGCCACGCCATAGTACAGATGCATTGCAAGAGGGCGCATGAGGATTTACACTTGAAATCTAAGTATGTATGTGTGTATATATATATATATATCAAGGTTTCATTTCTGAATAGAGATACAGTTTGCACTAAAGCTCTTGTGGGATAACTCTGGTTCTGTGATCTTGTCTGAGCTGGATGCGCATGGACTGAGAAAGGTAACAGCAATTGATGTCCGAACATTCGGATCAAATCTTTATGCATATATGTATATATCATATATGATATATTTGTATAAATAATATGTTGTATAAATTATAAGTACACTTGTAGACATAAAAAACAACTTGTGCTACCAACAAATACAGCTTGAACCAGCAGCCACAACGTGCATCTGTCCAATTCAAACATGCTGGCTGTGCTCAAGCACCCTTTGAAGACCTCTAAAGGTCTTTCATGGGCAATTCAAAGCAAAGTCAGTCCGGCTTCCACTTGACACATTCAGCGCCATCCTGCGGAATCGAATACAGTCAATGTGGGAGGTCAAAACCCTGCAAACTATTGGATGCTTGGATGATCATCCTATTGAATAAGGCCTTTTCCACTGTACATTGGGAGAATTCTCTGTTGTAGATAAAGCACTGGATTGAGGCTCCTCTTCCTTTACAAATTGCAATCTCTTGACGAAGTCAATCTGGCCTCTCATGTAGGAGATGCATTTGAAACGCGATGCAGAACAAGTCAGTGGAACAAAATGGTTTCCTTCCTTCACCACTGTATGTCGTCTTACGGGTTTGTAGCGCCGCTCCTACATGCCTCATGCACGGCTTCTCGAAAGTCTTTGGCCTCTGCCAGATTCCAGACACAGCGATGAGCCCCGTGCACCCAGCATGAGCAAAGCTCACGAGGCGACTCACCAGGACTTTGACCAACCAAATGACGTGCTGTGGTCTTTTAAGTCTGGGTGAGTGGGGGAAGTCTCTTCATCCACCATGTGCTTCCAACGGCAGAGAATCAACACTGCATATGCAAATGCCAAACATATATGTGTTGTTTAACTTCTTCACGTGTATGTGTATATATGTTTGTAAATCACAAAACTGCCGCCAGGGTGGATCCTACCACCTGCATGCGGGTTCGCCTCTTTTCCGGCGGATGTTCGATCCGAAAGGTGGTCCCTTGAAGGCGAAACATGGCTTGCGCTCATGCTCAATTGACTACTACTTTCTGCTAAAAAATCCGACGCTTCCATCTGATGACTTTCGAGCTTGTTAATGGGCGTGAGTGAAACTGGCCAGACCAGAGGGTGCGCCGGCAGGAATTCATTCAGCTGAGGAACTGATCAGGTCTCCAATAGTTCATACTTTTGGCCCTGAACTTGCCGAAGATGACCTTGGAGTTTTTCTTTCGCCATGCATCCGTTGCTGACATCCGCTGCAAACAAACGAAAAAAGATGCGTGGGCACCAGGGCGTAGGTCGGAGCAAGGTTTCAGACTCGAAGCTGGCGTGCTGCTGCAAGGATGTTTTCATTTTGGAAGTCGTAAGCATGGTAATCAGTGTGAGAGATTGAGTTGTGGATGAGTTGGTTGGAATGAAAAGTCCAATGCTGCCTAGGTCTACCGACACGACGTTTACCAACTTCTACTGAATCTGCACTGCCAGGTTTATAAGTTACCTGCCTCATCGGGTCCAACGATCTGAGTATGTGCGCAGCGAGTTTCGCGCGTCTTTCATCTAGCGTCGTGCTGAAAGGTTTGATAGTAGAAATTCCTATTGGATAAGCCATGCGTGTAGCTGTTTCGTAAATTCGCTGGCTCGTAAACCGTCGGTCAACGTAGGTGGTAGGAATCCGCAGGGTCTTTCTGAGGCCACGTAAATGGAAAGCATATCGGTACGACTCGAGCTGTCAGTATGTCGTGGGGTCACCATTGGATTAAAATGTCTAGCAGAAATTGTCTAATCGAACCGTTCAGCCATCTGTACAGCTCGACAATCAATTGGTCAGGCCCCGGTTGCTTGTTCACTTTACACCGCTTCAAAATAAAGTGAAATTCTTGGAGAGAAAACGGGCCGTTGTCACAAACTGGTATTTCCCAAAAAAGATCGTTGTAAAGCAGCGGGCCCTGACCATTGCGATTGGACCAATGCTGTTGTTCTAGGTAGGTGGTAATAGGGGCGGCTCGGTCTTTGAGGGGGACTAGAGCATTTCGCATACGAAAGGTTTGAAATCTTTTCTCAAAGTATTCACCGACTTCCACGCATGCCGCCCGTGTGGATCTTGTGGATTCCTCTGGAATTGGTTTACCACCTGCCTTTTCCGGTCGGCTCTGGCCTCCTTTCTTATTTTCCTGTCAAGGTTTTCGACTTCGTCGTGATTACCCTGTAAAATAGAGAGATTAATTAGGCCCCAAGTACTTCTGGGCAAATAGGTGGGATATCTTTTGACAGGCATTCATCTGCAGCCATGGACACAGCCGTATTGAAGCGCTTCAATTTCTCTACATCTTGGCTAAGTAAACTTGCGTTGTATATTCTGGATACCGCGTCATTATACGCTTGCCATTGAGGCTCAGTCGGCTTCGAAAAAACGACGTGTTTTCTTGTCAAAGGGAGATTGGGGGGTGGATAGCTTGACCCTAACCTTCGTCTCAAGGATGTAGTGATCGGTATCCATATAGATATATATATATATATGCCCATCCGGCTTTGGACGCCCATGCTGACATTGGTTTTTGGAAGTCAGTGTTCAGCACCCGTAGCAAGTTTGCATTGCAGAAACCAACAAACAGGTCTCTATTCTCCTGCGTTGTAAGGAAACATCTCACGGCGCACACGTCACCTAGTCGCAGATCCTGCTGGAAAGAATCGTCCGGCTGCTGGGAGGACTCAAGTTGGCTGCTCACCTTGGGATTGTTTGCAAGGCCTTCTCTTGCTGCTCTGAGGGGTAGTGACCCGGAAGTGGGTCCACAAAGTTCTGACTTCGAAAGCCCCCACGTTCAATCGTGTCTTTAATACCCCCAACCTGTGACTGCAAAGTGGAAACAACTGTTCTTTCTTCGGCGGTGGCCGGCCCCAACCATTCACCTCGCAGGACTACCCCTTGCCCCACTTAACATCCAGGGTTTGCTTGAACATTCTGGAACGTTGTAGCTGACTCTGACTCGTTTCCTCTCTTTGTTCACATCAGGAATAAACAGCTAGCGCTTCAGCCAAATCAGGTTTATCAAAGGCCTCATCGGCCTCTGCAGATGTAGGCACATGATGTTCAGCTTACATAAAACTGCTCAAGTTCAGCAAGCTCAGGTTTCTCCTCAGTGACGTGGCTGCAGCATCTTCAACCAAGGACAGCTCGATTTCCCAAACACGAGCTCAGGATAGTAGCCCTGCTTTGGGGACCCCCAATCAACAAGCCAAGACCACTGCTTCTTGTTCACCTGCCATCTGCAAGGCCAAAGCGGTATGAGGATCAGCCAGTCACTGGGTTCCCTTCAAACCTACCACTGACTTTCCAATTGCAGCGGTCAAAAAGCTCAGTAGTAGTCTCGCCATCGTTGACCCAAAAGGTTTAAAGTGGCCTGCTCACCAACCTTCTTCTGACACGCAGCAGGTTCTCAATCAATGCTCAACCCATTCCAACACCTTTCCAGCCAAGAGCGCGTAAACATAAGCACGCAGGCGGTCTCAGGGACCTTGTCACTGAGAGTGAGCAAACTGAGAGTGAGCAGCTTCTTGGTCATGCTATCCAGCTCTAGATTCCTGTCTAGCTGGAGCCCTGTCTTTTACAGGGATCCGCTACCATTGACACAACTGCAAGCAGGTTGGATCCTACCACCTGCGTGCGGGCTCGCCGCTCTTTTCCGACGGGCGCTCGATCCGAAAGGCGGTCCCTCGAAGGTGAAACATGGCTTGCGCTCATGCTCAATTGACTTATGTGTGTATATATTATACGCAGATATACGCCCATGACCTACTTAACGCTGTCTCTGTAGGCCTGCCCATACAAAAGCTTGTTTACACCTATCAGAGATCAGTGCCCCTCATTAGCTGACAACTATACATGCATCTTCAAAAACGGGCCAAAAACCCGCTGTCTTTTGTAAGGATTTTCAATAACATACCTGAGAAGGGGGGGACGAAAGCCAGCAGCCGCCAGACGAGTGTCTCTTTTTCTGGCGGGCGTCGCGGCACAAGACACATGGTCGGCAGCTTCCGAGTCAGCGGTGCCGCGGATGCGCGGGGGTATGTGATGGTGATTGAGGGAGCAGAGAAGCAAGCCGGGCGGCCGTGGGATAAGTTTGGTAATTATGAAAAAAGTAGTGAAAGAGAAATGCGATACGTTGTAAGTTGGTGTAGGTCATCATCACTTACAAGGCAATGGCATGCGTTTGTCACACGCAGGAAGGCATGCATCTTATGGAAGTTGGAAGGCGACATCAGCGTCAGCGAAAGGGAAATACCGTCTGGGTTCGAGTGGTGGGATACCACGCGCGCGCGCGCGCAGGAAGACCTTCTCCATAGTGAGCGTCGCCGCTCGCGCGCGCGCGAGTACGGCATGCGTTTGAAAAGAAACAATTCTGTGTTTGTTACATTTGGAGCGCTTGAAGTTTGCAATGCATACTGCGGCGCGTCGACAAGCCTTCGTTGATTTGGAAGAGTGAACGGGCACGTCTTAGCCGGGACACGGACGTTTGATCCCGCGGCGCAGAAGGGGAGGTCCAGCAGGAGTAGCTTGGGCTAGCAAAGGAGTGAGGATTTGTGCGCCTATCGATGCACATGCCTGGACTTGAGTGAGTCATGTTCTGGCACAATCCAAAACACAGTCTTTGTCCTTTAAAGGGGCCTTTATTAAACGATCCAAACACCTTCTTTGTTCTTCTCTTTCTTATCAACTCTGCGCCTTTCTCACTCAGAGGCCTTGACTTTGGCACCTGTGTGTGTAGATCTTTGGGCCGTGGACCCAGGCTGACTGGATTCGGCCAGGGCTGCCAGCAAAAAGGCGACGTCATGAGTCAGTAGTATATAGAATTTATCTCTCTCTCTCTCTATCTATCCATCTATCCATCTGTCTATCTACCTACCTACCTATCTCTGTCTCTATCTCTATCTCTATCTCTATCTCTATCTCTACCTCCTCTATCTATCTATCTATCTATCTATCTGCACCGGCAAGCCGGAAAAACGTTCGGTGCGTGTGGACGCCGCGGGAAGCATCCACTCGACCGAGGACATGGTGCAAGTACAGCTTTTGCTAGGGGGCAGGAACCCTATGCGGATATGTAGTCAACCTCGCAGGCATCCCCGCCGAAATTCAATCCAAATTCATGGAGTTGAGCTCATCTCTATGGATTTCGCGAGTTACGGGTTGTCCTGGGAACTCGTATCCTACATGCGGCGGTCTGCTCTGTACTTCTGTCCCTGTCTCCACTCGAGTGCTCCAAAGCCCTTCATGATGCTGATGATGCACTACTTGGCGTCCATTGCATCACTCGCATCACCAGACCCCATTTTCACTGCTTTTCTGACCCTCGCTTTGGAGCGCTCTCCCCCACCAAGCTCCGGGTTCACCCTCTCAAAATGTGCCTCTCAGCACTCCCCCCCCACACCCCCTTAATATATCAATATTAAAACATGCTCAAAACCCCCTATGCTTAGCGATGTTGTACCAAAAAACAAGGCTTTTTTTGTGTCTTTGTTGTCGTTTTTGAACTTCCCATTTGCGGTTCTGAACCAAAAAACAAAAATGAAAGGAACAAAAAAAACACCCAACAAAAAGCCTGGACCCAGATTTCCTGAGTTTTGTGGTTTTCAGTTGTTTTTCTTGTTGTTTGCTGTTTCTTTGGTCTTTCGCGTCATCACGTCTATGCTGTTCATGTTTGATTGTATGTGTATGATTGAATTCCCTTTTGAATTCCCCAAGTATTGATGTCCTGTCAAATTCCTTTTGATTTCTATTGATTCCCTTCTCACCTTCTCAATCCTGTTGAATTCTAATGATTTCCTTCACCGTACATTGTGTTGATTCCAATTGATTTCCTCTAAAAATTAATTTGATTTCTCTTGATTTCCTGTTTAAAGTCTTTAATCAATGTCGTTTTGATCTCTTATTATAGCGCATCAAATTATTGCAAGAAACTCCACAAAGGGGTTGGCCCAGTACACTAGAAATCTTGAATAATATAACCCTCTACAATCATGTGTTCCCTGTTTGGCTTGAATAATAGCATCCCCTGCAATCACGTCTAAGCTTTATTGGTTTCATTACATTATCTTTATGTGTGAAGTCCCTTTCTTAAAATTCCTTGTGGTTTCTATGATTGCCTATTGCCTTTGAAATCCGTTTGATTTATGTTGATTACCTTTTAAACTCGTTGCATTGTATTGCACTCTGTTGCTCTGTTGGTGTTGTTGCCACACAATCACTCATCAAAGATCATACCAGCAAAAGCTGTATGAAGTCGGGATGATGGTCGACAAAGTGTCTGTCTTAGGATTCTGCGGCAAAGGTTGGTGGCATTTGCATCGCCCATTCCTAGGACAATTGGCACTGGCTGCAGGACCAGCTTGAAGATTCAGGCCAGTATGGCTAGTACAGATAGTCACGCCTTCTGAGGAACCGGGCACAGTCGGTATCAAATGGCAGTGACGTTTTATGGTGCTCTTTCACGTCTACTTTGGACCGAGAAAGAATGAGGCTGTGAGTTGTAACAATTTCTGGCATGTTTGTACAAACCTTCTCGTGTGTCAAAATCTGCTTGAGCCGCAAGCAGAAACGTGTCATGTTTCACGATGTGTCACAAAGCCTCAAGAAAGCCATCATAGCTCCACATCAAATGTGATGCGCTATCAAGGAATCGTAGAACGTGCCTTTGCGCTTTCCGTATGGTGGTGGACCGCGACTTGCCGCTACCTGGGTACAAGGTTCCAACTTTCCACAGGCCTGCCCTGAGCCCACACACCAGGAGGAAGAGGACACTTGGTTCCAGTCAATGGCAGTTTCAGTGGCAGCAGCGGCTTTGAATGAGCCCACAGAAGCATCTGCCACCTGCACTCGTGGCACAGCTTCTCATCAAGGCAACACTATGTAGGTATAGGTTGTGACCAAACACTGCCAGCCTGTTTACCCGTCGCTCTATCGTGTCAGCCCAAAACACAAACCAGTCACGTAAAACAGACCACATTGAAATGCTCAGCGTTTCCAACGTCTCGTTTCCAATGTGACTCGAGATGGAATTCTACGGCAGCAACTGCTGCAAATGCTGCGAGATCGCCAATCTGCTTGGAATAGATGAGCACGGAAAGCTCTTCAGAACACATAGCACAAAAGAACTGAACTCGTGTAGGTTTTGCACAATGACATGAGAGTGAGCCTGGAAGGATGCAAACTGGCCACATTAAAATGAAGAGAAACGCAAATTGAGATGAGGGAGCAGCGAGGAATAAGAGGTGACCAGAAAGGAAAAGAGCGGCTGTGAGATCAAAGAGTATGGAGAACAGGGATTGGTTGATCTGAGTCGCAAGGAATCATGTCTAGCTGTTGCCTTGGGATCTAAGATCAATCCTGCTGCTTTCATTCTTGCCAATCATCTTCCTCATTGTGGTAGAGCTGGAGGCTGCTGGAGGCCGCTGGAGGCCACCCTAAACCACTGAAGTGCAGCAAGTTGACCATGCTCAGCTTCTAAACTGTCGAGAGCCCAGAGCAAACGACCCAAACTACTCGTCTGCGCTTCGATACAGCAGCTTGCACCAAACACAGTAATACAGCTCAAGAGCATGTCACAAATAAATGGGGAATGCAGAATGCACTCCAGATGGTACTCTAAACACCAAACCCACATTGCTCAAAGCACCAACAGCGAGAAAAGCACAGACCTTACTTTCAGAAGAAACACAACAGTATACAACAGTGTCTCTCATGAGAACATGAGACTACGGGCGAGCAGTAAGCAAGTTCAAATTAATCCCAGAACAGTGTCGCAGCCGTGTTCGCAAAAGCACCATCTGCTTAGGAGTGGCACCATCTGGCAACCCATCAGACTCTCCAAGTTATCCATGACTAAAGACAATCCGCCTCTAAAGTCTGTCTCGGTTGTGGTAAGCGCCGCAGCCTGCAGCTCAGGAAAAGCCCACAAGTCGACACAACTTTCAGTAGCTTAGCCAGGCACAGGTCTGCCATGAACTACCTATGCAAATCTCTGAAGAGCTCAATTGTTGTCTGGTTCTGAACAAGAGGATTTGCAATGTGCGCTTCTCGGGCCGCAACCACTTTGGAAAGTGTGAAACCAAACATTGACAGCTTGAAATTGAAAGGCCAGCGCATTCATTCGAAAGTATTCAGCAATTGTGAGCAGTGAGCAAGAAAACTAAATCAAAAGAAAAGGAAACTCATTGAAGGCATCATCCTGGGTGGCGTGGGTTCAGCAGCCTGTGCTATGTGTCGTGGTCTGGAGTTGCCATTCAAATGTGTGTGCGAGTGTTGAGTCTTGACCACCTTTGTATATAATTGAATTCCAAACAATTTTGCAACACAGTCACTCATACCAAGTCTTATGATATGTTTGCATGACAGCTAAGAAAGTCCATTTCAAGACACTAGCTTTTTCCGCGTGCCCTTGGGGTGCTCCGTGCAGGGGCCTTGAAGCATTGGTCTCCCTGCTGAGCAAGTGTATCGTTGGCAAGAACAATATCTACATTCTGAATGAAGTTCAGGCAGGCTTATTTGGCGTCTGAAACCTCTGCAGCGGACCCTGGGGCTTTCCTCTCAATGTTTCTCCGCAATGAAAGGGTCAAAGCAAGACTAGGCACTGCAAAAAGGGCACCATAGAGGATATAGAGGTACATGGTCCAACTCGGTGCGCTGGGTGCTGTCGGATCGAGCAATTGGTAGACAGTGGCAAACGCCACAGGTCCCAGAGCACCTGCTACCTGCGTGACCAAAGCAAGGGCAGATTGCAGCATGCCTTGCGTCTTTCCTGGAACAGCTGCACCAACAATTCCAGCAACTACAGCATTGCCAATGAATGAAGGCCCTGAAAGCACCATGCTACTCAAATAGATGTGCCAAGGCCTGCTGGAAAGCATTTGCACAATGTTGGAGGTCACGCAGGCGCAAGTGCTGAAAACCATCAGTCCTGTTTGCCCAAAGGCTCGCAAAAGAAAACTCACACCCAATGATAGCCAAAGAACCTGGGAGATGTGTTCTGCAAGTCCACCTTGGTAGCTATTTAGCCTCGTCCATGCCATGCTGCTCTGCAAAAATCGTCCGAACATTGTGTAGTAGCCCGCCCAATGAAACGAATTGATGATACTGATTGCACTGAGTTTCTCAACCAAAGGGCTCTGGAAAAGAACTTGGAATGCCGCCGTAGGCATCAAAGATGACCAGCAAAAGGGCATCCGCTTCTCTGCTGGTAGAGATTCTGGCAAAAAGAAGACTGCAATACAAAGAGTCACTACACGACCGAGGAATTCAACCAAAATTGCCATTTTTGAGCTCAACACAGTACCAAGAGCTGTCCCCATTGCAGCACAAACTATGCAGGACCCCTCGATGAGGCTCACAGCATAAACAATGCTGGGTGCATGATCCATCCGATCCATATACCAAGCGAAGGGTACAGCACCCCAGGGAATCATTGTAAAGAAACCAAGGCAAAAATCTATCCAGATTGGTACGGAAAACCAAGCTACTGCTATTGTACCTGTTGTTGAAATCAGAAGGCACGAACGAATTACCAGAATTGCAGGTTTTCGACCAAATGCATCACTCAGGGCACCCAAAGCGGGTCCCACAATGAACTGCACCAGCGGGAGCGCAAACCCTGCACAGGGCAACAAGTTGAAGTCAACGCATTCAGTTCCAAACAAGAATCCAACAAAAACATTCTTTTCGACAGGAACATTCAATGTGCTGTCCAAAAAGCAAAAGTGGGAATGCCGCAATGCCCTTCTTCCCGTCTGATCACCCCATGCTATCTACCCATGAAACGGAACAAATGGAACAAAAATTGATCTGCCAATAATTTGAAGGTGTTGTTTCCTCTTTGGAAAGCCCCATCCTCTGATGATTTGGAGTTTCAAGCACTTCATGACAGACTCTGCACAAGGCGCTGCAGCCATTTGTGTAGCACAGTCAATGTCCGGGTGCGATTGCCGCGCAAAATAGTTCAAATACAAGTATTCCTCAGTGTCTCGCTTGTCCATCACATGTGGAGTTTTTTGAACACTGGAGGAATGGCATTGTTTCCACAAAGCTGGCTGGCCAAAGTAATATCAAAAAGTGCATTAATATCCGTGCGTGCCTGTGTGCGTGCCTGCGGGCGGGCGGGCCCCCGCACCCTCCCGTTTTTTTAATGTCACACCCCTCCGCCACTGCCCCTGTCACATAGAAGACTGCATACATCACCAACACATCATTCCATAGACATATACATGCATGATTACAAACAGTTATCCATGGCCTCCCCCCTGTAGGAGGTATTTATGTATGTATGCATGCATGCATGCATGCATGCATGTATATATGTATGAGTGTTCCTATAAGAAACGTAAATACTTCAAAAATAGAGGAATGATGGGTATGTATGTTCCTGGGAAACGTACGTACCGCGCAATTCCGGGTATGTATATATGTTCCTAGGAAACATACCTACTGAACAATTCAGGGCATGTATGTTCCTGGCAAACATACATACGTTAAAATTAGAGTATGTATGTATGTATGTATGTATGTATGTATTCTTGGGAAACATACATACCTCCAAATTACTGGCATGTATGTCTGTCTGGGTTCCGTGGAAAGCATATTTACATACAGTACCTCCAAAGTACTGGTATGTATGTATGTTTGTCTGTCTGTCTGTCTGTCTGCCTGTCTGTGTATGTATGCCTGTGTATGTATGTATATCTGTCTGTCTGTCTGTCGGTCGGTCGGTCGGTAGGTAGGTATGTATGCGCGTATGTATTTTCCTAGAGGTTCTTTTGTGTCTGCATGAGTCTCAGCCTTTTTGGCTTGTTGCTCATGCGGCAACTGGTTGCGGCTGCCGTAGCAGATTTTTGCCACTACTACACGTTGCCCTAGGAGAAGTCCACTTGAAAGGTCGTGTCTTCCTCCCCATCGGTCACGTGGTCATCTCCAGCGCTTGGCGCCAGCTCGGTTTCCTCACCTGGTGTATGGCTGCGCTGGACAGCCCTAGTGGGAATTGCAGTTGCTGTTGCAGAGGTGAGAGCAGGTCCTCAGTTTGCTGTCCCTGTTCGGTGAGGGTGGGGCCGGGATGCCCTGCTCAGCGCCCTTGGTTTGGAAGAACTCCTTCATTTCAGGGGTTCCCCTGATGGCGGCGACTTTGCATTGGCGTTTCAAGCCAGAGTACAGAACAATTCTGTCCACGGCATCGAGGAATTGCACAGGACCTGCAGTGGACGCGGTTGCCTTTACGCCAGCAGGTGGCTTTTGTGAGCATCATGGGGCCCTCTTGTGGACTGAGACTCCACACTTGCTGCATGTGAGATAGCCAGCGGTTTGCTCAAAGGCATGCTCATTGAGCGAGGGTGGATGGTTGGCCTGGACCTTCAGGACTTCAGCAATGATCTGGGCACGTGTGGGCTTTTTGCGGACGGTGTTGGGTGGTGAATCTAGCGGCGCCAGCTCTCATGCGAGTTGCAACTGCTGACAATGCTCTTGCATACGCTGTTCCAGGACTTCCGGGGTGAGCCCTTGGTGTACCCTGACTTGGCGCGTCTGGGTAGCCACTTCGATGTGGTTTCCATTGGTGTTTGCCCGCCATGGCTGCTTGCATTGTTGGGTGAATCGTTTTGTATTGCTTGGCGGTGTGTCCGGCGCGTGTGGGCGGTTTCTCATGGATGTAGCTGTTGTGGATCCTTGTAGATGCTTTCCAGTCTCTGCAGCGCGTGCTGGTAAATGACCTTGTGGTCCTGGTCAAGAGCCCTCTGCCAGCTTTTGTTGCGTGGGTCGGGAAATAGCGCTGGCCCTTTCCCGAAGCTGCAAGGCCTGCATCACGTTGTCGTCGTCTGAGGTGTGGCTCGCTGGCAGGGGCCTCAGGTGTGGTTTGCTGCTTGCTGATGTAGAGGGGAGTGACCCGCGGCTAGATCGAGTTCGTAGTAGTGTGTTTGTGTGTGTGAACACCTGTTTCCAAGGTTTGTGCCTAGTAAGGTTGCCTGCCGTAGATCTCACTAGAAGGCTGGATGCTACTAGTTGCTCCTGGCCTTGCTACTAGGAACAAAACCAAAATCAAAAACAGCGCGAGCAAAAAAGAGGCAGGGCGGCGTAGCGTGTTCAGATGACTACGCCCAACGAAGCTAGTCTGAACACGGGATACCGGGATTGGCCATCCTGGCATACCTGCTGGACCTTTCGCTTTGGTTAAAACTGTTGCCCAAGCTGTCTAATTCGTTGTTTCGCAGTAAGCGGCTAGTGCACTGAAACAGATGTTAAACATCTTCAACTACTTGGACTCCACCGCCTTTCGGTTTGTGCTTCTTTCTGTTCATCAAGTCAAGTGGGACTTCATTCTGATCCTAGCTCTTGCGAGCAACCATCTAAGTGTGTATCGCCACAGAGTCCCACTGATGCATAGACCCAGATCCTGGGGGATTTCTTCCACCTTGGAATTTCTTTCGATTCCTTCTGGCTTGACTGTTTTGCTCGATACCACTGATATCATGCCGCAGGGCTCACTGAGATCACGATCCAGTCAGGATTTGCACATGCGTCTAAGTATTCACCTGTACAGTTTCCACGGCTAATTACGTAACCACAGGCTGCTTTTCAGTTGCATGTTCTTGTCATGCTCTTGAGTTCTTTCTCTCTTTCTGTTGCTTTTCGTTTCTTGAGGCCTTCCTTTCTTTAGGTTTCAGGTGTCTTTCAGGTGTCTTTCAGACAATGGGCTGCACCGGCCCAAAATCGGCTATGCCACTGATGGCAATGCCTTCGGGCCCTCCCTGCCCCAGGCCTCTGTCGCTATCCCAAAAAACCTAAATCACATAACAGCATCCACGTCAAAGGCAAGCAAGAGAATGACAAGGCGGCAGCGGCAGCCAAAAGCGAAATCATGAACAGAGACAAACTTGGGAGACAAGGCGGCAGCGGCAGCCAAGAGCGAAATCATGAAGGGAGACAAGCTTGGGAGACAAGGCGGCAGCGGCAGCCAGCAGCGGCAGCCAAGAGCGAAATCATGAAGGGAGACAAGCTTGGAAGACAAGCCGGCAGAGGCAGCCAAGAGCGAAATCATGAAGGGACAGACAAGGCGGCAGGGGCAGCCAAGAGCGAAACCATGAAGTGAGACAAGCTTCGGCAGCAGCGGCAGCCAAAAGCGAAATCATGAAGGAGACAAGCTTGGGAGACAAGGCGGCAGCGGCAGCCAAAAGCGAAATCATGAAGGGAGACAAGCTTGGGAGACAAGGCGGCAGCAGCAGCCAAAAGCGAAATCATGAAGGGAGACAAGCTTGGGAGACAAGCCACCAAGAGCGAAATCATGAAGGGAGACAAGCTTCACAGACAAGGCGGCAGCGGCAGCCAAAAGCGAAATCATGAAAGGAGACAAGCTTGGGAGACAAGGCGGCAGCGGCAGCCAAAAGCGAAATCATGAAAAAAGACAAGCTTGGGAGACAAGGCGGCAGAAATCATGAAGGGAGACAAGCTTGGGAGACAAGGCGGCAGCGGCAGCCAAAAGCGAAATCATGAAAGGAGACAAGCTTGGGAGACAAGGCGGCAGCAGCAGCCAAGAGCGAAATCACGAAGGAAGACAAGCTTGGGAGACAAGGCGGCAGCGGCAGCCAAAAGCGAAATC